AAATGTTTGCTAAAAGTATTATTATATTATTGATCGATTGACTATGACTTTTCAGATCACCCAGTAATGCTATCCGCAGGGTTAGCTCCAGGTAAATATTGCAATCCTTTAGCCATTCCTGGACCTGTGTCCAAAAACAAGCTACAAATGGACAGTACCAAAACAAATGATCTAATGATTCTGTCTCTTCGCAGCAAAATCTGCAGAGCTGGGAAGATTGTATCCCCCATATAAATAACATTCTATTGGTAGCAAGAATTTATAATTTAAATTGAAAAATTATACGTTTTGAATCCGGCGTTGTTTTGCGTATCAGTTCATAAACACTATGCCATGGGATCGGTACGTCAAAAATCTCTTCCCAACTATTTTGCAATCTATATTGGATGGCTGTCAATCCTTTGGTCCTTAAATGAAACTGATATACTTTTTTATTTATTACAGTTTTCTTTAACCAATTATGTTATTTAATACAAGGCTGACAGACAAGTTCCTTACCTTTTCCCCCTTCCACTTTCCTCTTCCATTTTTGCGGTAATTTTGGGTAGAGCAGACATTTCCATATGTTTTTGTTAGCTGCATGTGCGACATAACTCCACCAGTCCTACCGATGATATCATTTACGAAGATTATACCTTTTTTAAACATGTTGTCAAAAAAAAAAGGTTTTTTATCAATTAGTATATTTGAGTTTAACCACAATATTTGTTGCATTATTTGTTCTGTAGTTTCTGGAGGATTAAATTGAAACTGCAACCAACTTTCTATGGTTTGTTTTAGAAATAGTGATAATTGGGAGATTATTTACTTTTCAAATAACTGAAAGTGAGAGGTTGTAATCTGAATAAAGGGGAAAAAGGCCATTCTTGAACATTGGGTGAGACAATCTTACTAATTTGCTAGAGAACCTGTTCGGATTTAAGAATAACTTTTGTATGACTGAATCTTTTAGTGATAGGTCTAATGCTTTAATATGTAATAATTTCTGTCCTCCGAATTCATATTCATTATATAAATAGGCCCGTTTAATATTCTCATATAATTTAAAAAAACTGTTTGCTAGGCGTAGGCAAGACCATAAGCAAATAGGTAAACTGGGATAATACTAAAGAGTTCATCAGGGTGATTTTTCCTGAGTCGCGCAGTGGTCTAAGGCACTGCATCGCAGTGCTAGCTGTGCCACTAGAGATCCTGGTTCGTATCCAGGCTCTGTCGTAGCCGGCCGCGACCGGGAGACCCATGGGGTGGTGCACAATTGGCCCAGCGTCGTCCAGGGTAGGGGAGGGAATGGCCAGCAGGGCTGTAGCTCAGTTTGTAGAGCATGGTGTTTGCAACGCCAGGGTTGTGGGTTCGTTTCCCACGGGGGGCCAGTATGTAATGTAATTTTTCCACAAATTAACAGGTAACTTTCTATTACAATTTATTGGAGTGAGATCATTTATTTCATTTGGGATATGTATTCCGAGTATATCCACATCACCATCAGACCATTTTATTGGTTATTTTTATTTATTTTTTAGTGATCCAATACGTAATATAGTACATTTATCATAATTTGGTTGTAATCCAGAGAGGTTAGAAAATGTATCCAGATCCTCTATGAGGCTGTGGAGGGATTCAAGTTGTGGATTTAAAAGAAAATCATCAGCGTACAATGACACCTTTGTTTTTAAGCCCTGGATTTCTAATCCCTTGATATTATTGTTGGATCTGATTTTAATAGCTAACATCTCGATGGCCATAATAAATAGATATGCCGATAGTGGACAACCTTGTTTCACTCCTCTTGAAAGTATAAAACTTTCTGAGAAATAGCCATTATTTACTATTTTACACCTAGGGTTACTATACATGATTTTAACCCATTTTATAAGAGATTCTCCAAAATGGAAATGTTCCAGGCATTTAAATATAAACCCCAGTCGTACTTTATCAAATGCCTTTTCAAAGTCTGCTATGTATAGCAGGCCTGGTTTCCCAGATTTTTCATAGTGTTCTATTGTTTCCAGTACTTGCCATATATTATCTCCAATGTATCTTCCATGTAAAAAAACCTGTCTGATTAAAATGAATAATGTCCGACAATACCTTATTAATTCTATGCGTCATACATTTTGCTAGAATTTTTGCATCACAACACTGAAGTGTAAGGGGCCTCCAATTGTTTTAATGGACTGGATCTTTATATTTTCCACTTGTATCCTGTTTCAGTAATAATGAAATCAGACCTTCTTCTTGAGTGTCTGATAATCTACCATTTACATAGGAGTGGTTAAAACATGCTAATAACGGTCCTCTGAGTATATAAAAAAAGCCAGTGTTGCCAGCACTGCCACTACCTGGGTGGGGGTACCCCACCGGAATCCCCACCGGCTAGGTACAAGGTCGTCAAGGTTCTCATTAGCAGCTTTGATCATTTCCTTGTAAATTATGCTCTCCCATCAGGGGGCTCTGGCTTTGTAGGACCAATCCTGCCAGGCAGGCTCAGAATCTTGAGGGGGCGGTGCTGCTCAAGTAGGTCTCTGACTGCATTTATTTTTCTGTTTTGGCTGCATATAGGCAACTCACAGCAGGTTCATAAAACAGATGGGGACTTCTCTTTGGTGTATGGGTTGCTCAGGTGGGTGTCTAGGATATAGGGTTGGGGATCGTTCCATCATGATAGGACAATAAAAAAAACATATTAGATGTATACTATATTTTAAAATGTATATCCCTCATCTGCACAAAATTGAAAGCTCTCTCTCACAACCCCTGCTCACAGACACACATTGGTTCTGGGATATGCAACCATTTCCTCCTCACTCACTTAACGCCACACTTATTCAAACACAAAAACGCACACCACACCTTCCATCACAATTCATCCACACATACCCACATACATACACATTCTATGTCTTCTGTTTGCTATGTTTTTCTCTCCACTATGTTGATTGAGTACTTGTGTTCTAATTGAGTTGTATTTGAAGATGTATTATTTTGCTTGTTATCTTTTCTTGTAATACCGTCTTATTCCTTTATAAAATAATATACCTATTTGGAAATTGGTTGTCATTATTACAGTTATCAACACAAGAGCACACGCTTCCGGGTGTGCTATTATTTTCCTTGAAGATTGGGTACAGAACTTTGCGCCGTTCTGCAATCTCCCTCGGGAACTGATCATTCTTGCCTATTTTCGTGCCAGCAAGTCTTTCACCAAGGCTTTTAACCATTACTTTATACTTAAAAAAAGCAAATTTGGCAACGATTGGATGCTCATATCTCTGTCCTCTTTGTCCGAAACGGTGTACACGTTCGAGTTGGATTTTGTCGACAGCCTCGAGTGGAATTTGAAGCGCTGTAAGAAAGAAGTCAATTTCTTCAGTAATCTCTCCCTCTTTTTCCTGGATACCCGTAAGTACTAGATTTTCTCTCATCAATCTAGTTTGTATGTCTAGTAAGGCTTCTCTCAGAAAGTTGTTATCCTTTTTAAGTTCCTTAACGTCCGTTTCCATCCTAGCGACTGTCCCTTTTAGTTTTTTTGTATCGCTCTCCATTATCGCAGCTTTTCCATCACTCATTTCAAGACTCGCATTCAACTCTATTACATCATTACTGACCAACTCTAGTATGCCCAGTTTGTCATTTATCGACTTCAACAGGTCGCTTTCCACACTTACCAGTCCCAGTGGTGAAAAGCATAAATCATCTGTATCAGTCGAGGAGTCGCGTTTTCTCTTGGAGATTGATTCTCCTCGTTTATCTTCCGTCGTGTTTGGGTGTTGCGTGTTGTTGTAATATTTGTCGATACATTTCTCTAGCCTTAAAATTTGTTTTGGGTTATTATCCAGATTGAATGTTATTACCCTCAAATATATTAAATGTTAATATTTAGTCTAACTTACTGATATTTAATATTATGTTTTTATCTTGAGGTGATTTGTACCGCTGTGTATTCAATACGCCATCTTGTATACCTGCCCTCTACCGGAAGTTCCCTCTTTAGTGATGCTCTGGTACCGCTCACATGCTCTGGTACTGCTGACACGCTCTGGTACCGCTCTCATGCTCTGGTACTGCTGACATGCTCTGGTACTGCTGACACGCTTTGGTACCGCTCACATGCTCTGGTACCACTCACATGCTCTGGTACAGCACTGTGAAGCGCAGATCCAGAGCTTTGACATCATGTATAGCATGTTACTGTACAGCCACTGCGTTCCGATTTACGCATTTATCAGTGCCCAAATCTGTCATTTTCAACACGTATACGGGTACAAGTTAAGGGCTACATGGATTGTGTTACTCAATACATTTGGTGTAAAATTATTTTGCTATGATTTTGGCATGACATTTTAAACATGCTAAATGGGGAAGATATACTTTTTTTGGTCCAAATATGCTAATATTGATGTTTCCAGTTGCTAGTCAAAATAAAAGTGTGGATTGCAGTCACTCCTTGTCCGGGTATGTACTGAATTTGCATCGGGAACAATAAAAAGAAACCTGTTGTGCTTAAGGGTAACAAGCAGCGCAACTGTAAGGAAACAAATATGATTATGTAAAGTTGCTGAATTGCAAATATTTAATGTACCAAACCACTGCGAGATTCAATGCCAACTTACAATACAGAACTCTGCAAGCCAAGGTCACCATAGTTACTGTTATACTACAGAAACCCATTTGTGGTCTCAAGAAGGTAGTGCCCCGATTCTAAGCTAGCTACAGTATGACTAGCTGCTATCCACTACCCACTCAGAAGAAAACCTGATGAAACCAGCACAGATGTCAAAAAGTTGGTATCTATTCAATTTATTGCACAGAACACAGGACCTCTGCCTCACTACCCCCCTGAAGCGTTCCAACTCATCGTGCTATTGAAAAAGGCCTTCTTCAACGTCACAAGGCTGAGGAGTGAGTCTCACAGACCCCATCTGCAGTTTCTATTTTATTTTCTAAGTGATCTACTACACACTCGTTTTTCAACTGAATACAGTAGCCTACAGAACATACCACTGGAAGACCTTCCAGAGTGAGGGGTTCTGGATCCGTTTGATGCTGTGGATGGTGCTGCTGGCCATGGTATGTTTGAACAGCTTCTCCATCTTTTGGTACTCTTCTATCTGGCTTGAGAGTGGAACCAGCTGAAGGAAACCACAGATTACTTTTTTGAGTGAGATGTCTCCATGGGAAATATTCCACACTAATATAAGCTAATATTAATATCACTAATATGATGGGCACTGATATGGAAAATCTATATCAGTTGCATTTTTTCAATCCGATATCGATATATAGCATTGCAACTGTGTGAATGTTAAACTTTCTGTTCACTTCCACGGCTTTGTGAAGTCCAGACAACGGCTTGCTAATTGCCCATTAGGCCAGGTGCAAATGTTCTGGGGGCCTAACCTACCCAACCAGTTTGAATACAATGGTAAGCCCGTTGATGGCCCATCAGTAGGCAATGAAGTATGCTAAATTGAGAGGCATTGAGAGGTTTTTGTGCCTGCAGGAACAGTCATGTATGCTATTTTACATAATGGTTTAGGTTAACAGCAAGGATAAACCGATATCACGATATCCCTTGCTCATATCGATATCAAAAGATATCGTTATCATATTGGTGCCCACCATTATAATAGTGTCAAAGCAAATCAAATGAAATTTTATGTGTCACGTGTTGAATACAACAGGTGTAGACTACAGTGAAATGCTTACTTACTGTGTCTGTGAGCTCACATGTTTTTCATTTAAACTCAACTAAATTAAACAGTACAGTATCACTACATAGTACCTTGTAGTCTGTGGAGTCAGACAAGACTCCCTTGTCCCAGTGTGGAGGGACAGTCACAGAGGAGCTGGAGCTCTCCTTAGACTCACTAAAAGGGAGACAAAAGAAGAAACAGGAAATTCAACAGGGAAGTTCCAATAGATAAGGGTTGCCTAGTTTGGCTGATTCAGACACAGATATCCAATAGGACTTGCTGAATGCTCAGTATTATTCGGCTCAGTATTTATTACAGACATACAGTACAACCATGAAGGACAATACCTCTTCAGCTTGGCCTTCAGCTCTTCCTCAGAGAGAAAACGGGGCCTTCTACAAATTGCTATTTTGGTTGTAAATCTAATATTCTGCTGATGCATCTCTGAAACAGAGACAATATTTATGATAAAATATTTTGACAGGTTGTTAACCAATAAAGAGCTGATTAACTTAATAACTGTTGAATTACTATACATCTGTGACAAGGGGCATACCTTTGAGATTGAGAATGTACCCCCGATCTTCAAATAGAATCTTGCTGTCAGAGTCAGTTTGGTAAGAATTCTCCAGAGTCTGGGAAGTGACAGAGGCCACATTCCCATCATCATCCTGCACAGAATAAGACCACAGTTTAGATCAACCCAAAGAGGGTGGAGTAAAGTCACAATAAAAACCACACCATGCATATTCAGTATTCAGACTGACCTCATGGCCATACTCTATCCACTGGCCACGATCATCTCTCCAGTGCCACAGCCACTCTGTGGTAAGGATGAAGTTAGGGGGTTTGGTTACGGATGACACAGTGGACAGACGACGAACTGGACGGCTTCCACATGTCATGGTGAGGAAGTTCACAGGCTCACTTCCTCCACTGGGGGCAACACATTTACATTTACATCATTTAGCAGACGCTCTTATCCAGAGCAATTTACAACAGAGATGAACAACAAAATTAGACCTGTTGTTTAAAAAAAAAGGTTATATATTGTCTCTAATAAAACGCTAATATATTTTGGATCTGCTTTAACAGGTAACAAAAATCCACACCAAACCTGACATGATGACAACAGTACCTTGTGTCATTTCCTGGGTTACAGTAGGCCTTCTCAATCTCCTCTACATTGGCCAGGTCTCTCCAAGTCACTCCATGTCCCTCTAAGATCTGCCATTTGTAAGGCAGATGGTAGTGGACACGGACACATGTCTCTGACAACACACAACCACAGAAACACATGCAAACACTTCAAAACACACCACTGTAAACTGAAATGTTGATAATAAAGTATGTTTAGGTTGATGTTACCTTTGAAGCTGCAGTGACCGCGGATGAAGAAGAGGCAGATTTCATTCCTGTCAGTCTCACTGGTGGAGCTGGAGGAGGGCTGACGAGAACGTTGTTTCCCAACTGGCTTCATGACTGGAGTAAGGAAGGGTGGTACTGCTAGACACAGGACAGACACAGTTACTAAAGCTCTGTTTGCATGGATTCTCTGTTTGCATGGATTTGTTTGCATTGTCATTTCCTTACCAGCTGGATTTTCTTTGTGAGTCATGATGATGAACTTATTCTTGAAGATAACGTGGAGGATCTTGATGTTCTCTAGGCTGAATCCTCTGCTGTTTAGAATCTTCATTGCGGGGGTGTCGAACGTGTGGGCCCTCTTACAACCAGCACCAAACCTACAGTCACCCTGGAGGAAGTGCAGGCAGAGGTGGAGGCTTGTGCAGCTGGTTTTAAACTTGCAGGTGCCATGCTCACCAAAGCCCTTGTTGTAATGGAAGCAGATCTGGAAGGAGTTGAAAGGAGATGGTCAAACATCCAGAGCACATACGACATGCAATTGACATTTGGCATACTCTTTTTCCATATCAGTTGGTGCTGGAGGTACAGTGCTAACCTATCCACTAACCTACCCACTAACCTATCCAATATTTTTAGATCCACTAAAGCAGCCACCATAGTCCCTGTGCCCAAGAACACTAAGGTAACCTGCCTAAATGACTTTACATTAATTGGTAAAGGTAATTTTGGGTGCCACTCACCTCAGGCATCAAGTAGGGGTCATTCTGCAGCAGGAGTTGGAACATCTCTGCCTCACCCAGGTCATGGTGACCCACCTTACTTATAACAGCTGTGTTTTGTGGGGAATCTAGACTGTGGGCCTTTTTGCACTTGTTCCTAGAGTTTAAAGAGACACGCAAACAATGTTTGAGTATACTGACATAAGATGTGCAAATTAAACCAAGACAACAGAAGGCTCCTCAGCAAAAATATGTTAGCTACTTTATCTATTCACTAACAAGTCCAATCAAAGCTTGTCTGATACTCATTGTGCAAGATATCCAAGTAATGAGTCACAGTTCTCGGAAGTTATCAATACATAGGTGTCACACATACACTGCTTCACACCCTGCGTGTTTGTTGGGAAATTAACACAGTGGTGTTCAGACGACATGAACGGGTCTGTTTACCCAGCGTGATTGGGTTAAGTATTCGATGACACTTACCCGGGAACGAACAGCTTCCCACTGGGCATAGATGTCAATTCAACGTCTATTCCACATTGGTTGAATGTAATTTCATTGAAATGATGTGGAAACAATGTTGATTCAACCAGTGTGGGTTAACTCTAATTGCTCCTGTAAGTCGCTCTGGATAAGAGCACCAGCTAAAAATCTTGCATTTCCTTGCACGTGACAGAACGCAACATTTTAGCTGGTCCCATCAGAGAACATGGCACACATTAGCCCTATGCTGACTCACTAGGTGGCAGTGATTATATCCTAGAACAAATTCTTCATCAGTTTATCAAAGATCTTAGACTTTATATCCACCAACCATTAGCATTTCTAAAAATAGGTCACCTTGGCCACAAGAGGGATATTTTAAAGCTACAAATTCAAGGATTACTTTTGTTCGTTGGTCTGTAACAAAATGTGTGTCAATATTTAATTGATGCATCCTTGACTAGGATACCAGCTACTACTAACGTTTTCGCATACATGACAAAACCCCACGTTTTTGTTTATCCGTTTCACACACATCCATATGCTTTTATGGAAAAAAAGATAAATGAGGTCTTTACAACAAGTAAGTTTATCGTACATTGTAAAAAACAACAACACTAAGAGCCTTATGGTTTTGTCAAATAGTAGTAATGTAGGCTACCATCATCACCATCGCTTCTAGGTGGCACAACCTGCTAAAGCTGTTGATTTGAAATTGATAGTGCACTTAAACCATGGGTTCGTGCCCCCCTCATATGAAGCTTTTTTTGTTGAGGAAAAAACTATTCACTGCCGGTCCTAGGTGCTCGATTCAAAACGCATGTGACGAAGTGGATGATTATAATAATGCATAGCCTATAATAATAATGTAATATAGCCTTTGCAATATTATTATTAGGCAATAGCAGTGTGTTCGTGTGCAAGGCTGAAGAAAGTGGTAGCTCCTTATTCAATTCATTCTCAATCTTCAAATACTAATTGTTGGCTGTAGGTTACATCCCTTTTCACATTAACACAATACAAGGACATTTCCATTTCAAAGAGGAGGGACGACGACTATGTGAGATTCAAATAAAATAAAATAAAATAGTATTTGTCACAGGTGTAGACCTTACAGTGAAATGCTTACTTACAAGCCCTTAACCAACAATGCAGTTTTAAGAAAGAATACCCCCCCCCATTAAATTTTTTAAAAATAATAATAAAAAGAAACACAATATAAAATTATACAAAATAAAAGTAGAGCAGCAGTAAAAATAACAATAGCGAGGCTATATACAGAGGGTACCGGTACCGAGTCAATGTGCGGGGCCACCAGTTAGTTGAGGTAAATGGGGTAATATGTACATGTAGGTAGAGTTATTAAAGTGACTATGCATAGATAATAAACAGAGAGTAGCAGCAGCGTAAAAGTGTGGCAACGCAAATAGTCTGGGTAGCCATTTGATTAGATTTTCAGGAGTCTTATGGCTTGGGGGTAGAAGCTGTTTAGAAGCATCTTGGACCTAGACTTGGCGCTCCGGTACTGCTTGCCATGCGGTAGCAGAGAGAAACGTCTATGACTAGGGTGGCTGGAGTCTTTGACCATTTTAGGGCTTTCCTCTGACACCGCCTGGTATAGAGTTCTTGGATGGCAGGAAGCTTGGCCCCAGTGATGTACTGGGCCGTACGCACTACCCTCTGTAGTGCCTTGCGGTCGGAGGCCGAGCAGTTGCCATACCAGGCGGTGATGCAACCAGTCAGGATGCTCTAGATGGTGCAGCTGTAGAACCTTTTGAGGATCTGAGGACCCATGCCAAATATTTTCAGTCTCCTTATGGGGAATAGGTTTTGTCGTGCCCTCTTCACAACTGATTTGGTGTGCTTGGACTATGTTAGTTTGTTGGTGATGTGGACACCAAGGAACTTGAAGCTCTCAACCTGCTCCACTACAGCCCTGTCGATGAGAACGGAGGTGTGCTCAGTCCTCTTCTTTTTCCTGTAGTCCACAATCATCTCCTTTGTCTTGATCAAGTTGAGGGAGAGGTTGTTGTCCTGGCACCACACGGCCAGGTCTCTGACCTCCACCTTATAGGCTGTCTCGTCGTTGTCGGTGATCAGGCCTACCACTGTTGTGTCATCAGCAAACTTAATGATGGTGTTGGAGTCGTGCCTGGCCATGCAGTCATGAGCGAACAGGGAGTACCCCTGAGGGGCCCCTGTGTTGAGGATCAGCGTGGCGGATGTGTTGTTACCTACCCTTACCACTTGGGGGCGGCCCGTCAGAAAGTCCAGGATCCAGTTGCAGAGGGAGGTGTTTAGTCCCAGGGTCCTTAGCTTAGTGATGAGCTTTGAGGGCACTATGGTGTTGAACGCTGAGCTGTAGTCAATGAATAGCATTCTCACATAGGTGTTCCTTTTGTCCAGGTGTGAAAGGGCAGTGTGGAGCGCAATAGAGATTGTATCATCTGTGGATCTGTTGGGGCGATATGCAAATTGGAGTGGGTCTAGGGTTTCCGGGATAATGGTGTTGATGTGAGCCATGACCAGCCTTTCAAAGCACTTCATGGCTACAGGCGTGAGTGCTACGGGTCGGTAGTCAAGTGTTCTTGGGCACAGGGACTATGGTGGTCTGCTTGAAATATGTTGGTATTACAGACTCAGACAGGGAGAGGTTGAAAATGTCAGTGAAAAATGTCAGCACATGTTCGGAGTACACGTCCTGGTAATCCGTCTGGCCCTGCGGCCTTGTGAATGTTGACCTGTTTAAAGGTCTTACTCACATCGGCTACGGAGAGCGTGATCACACAGTCGTCCGGAACAGCTGATGCTCTCATGCATGTTTCAGTGTTACTTGCCTCAAAGCGAGCATAGAAGTAATTTAGCTCGTCTGGTAGGCTCGTGTCACTGGGCAGCTCGCGGCTGTGCTTCCCTTTGTAGTCTGTAATAGTTTGCAAGCCCTGTCACATCTGACAAGCGTCGGAGCCGGTGTAGTACGATTCGATCTTAGTCCTGTATTGACGCTTTGCCTGTTTGATGGTTTGTCGGAGGGCATAGTGGGATTTCTTATAAGCTTATAAGCGGCAGCTCTACCATTTAGCTCAGTGCAGATGTTGCCTGTAATCCATGGCTTCTGGTTGGGGTATGTACGTACAGTCACTGTGGGGACGACGTCATCAATGCACTTATTGATGAAGCCAGTGACTGATGTGGTGTACTCCTCAATGCCATCGGAAGAATCCCGGAACATATTCCAGTCTGCTAGCAAAACAGTCCTGTAGCTTAGCATTTGCTTCATCTGACCACTTTTTTATTGACCGAGTCACTGGTGCTTCCTGCTTTAGTTTTAGCCTGTAAGCAGGAATCAGGAGGATAGAATTATGGTCAGATTTTCCAAATGGAGGGCTTTGTATGCGTCTCTGTGTGTGGAGTAAAGGGGGTCTAGAGGTTTTTTCCCTCTGGTTGCACATTTAACATGCTGGTAGAAATTAGGCAAAACGGATTTAAGTTTCCCTGCATTAAAGTCCCTGGCCACTAGGAGTGCCGCCTCTGGATGAGCGTTTTCCTGTTTGCTTATGGCCGTATACAGTTCATTGAGTGCGGTCTTAGATTCAAACCCTTGTCACAATCTGCAACAATTACGTGGACTTGGCACTTTACACAGAGAGCAATTTGACCAGTCAGTCAAATACACATGATAGTTGCTTTGATGATCAGAATGTGCTGTTGGACTGAGGTATGTGTTGGTCAACAAGGTCAACAATTTTAATTGGCTGATGCAGAACTTGTTCCAGAATATAATCACTGCCATCTGGTGAGGTTAGCATAGGGCTAACGTGTGCTTTGTTATCTGATGAGACCAGCTACAATTTAGTTCTGTCATGTGCAAGTAAATCGTTTTTATTTTGTATTTTGAAACGATTTTACCCCTTTTTCTCCCCAATTTCGTAATATCCAATTGGTATATACAGTCTCGTCCTATTGCTGCAACTCCCGTACGGACCTCCGAAAGTTTCTGTGTGCGTGTGTTTGCGTGCACGTGTAACCTTTTTCTATTTTTACACCGTAAAGAATGTGTAGGACTTAAATCCGTACAATTATTATTCCCACTCAAGAAGGCTCATATTCATGCACTGGAAAGCCGCTATCTGCAAGTGATTGAATTTGGGCATTGGTCCCTGCAGAAGTGTAGACATACAGACATGAAAATCCTGTTGGAACAGGAGACAGTACAGAAGATCAGAAAGTGGTTGCTAGGACAGGCTAGCTGGCATTATTCACATGGGTCCTTCCTGTTATTGTTAATGGAGTTACACATGCCTGTCAACTATTTTTTCTTAATTCTTAAGAGTCTAAGCTGGGGGGGTTCTACTAAGCTAACATATGGAATTGTTTTAAGATGCTCATACCACTAGGGCTAGGGCTGCTGAATCAAGTGCACCAACCGCCAACAGCGTGAAACAAAAAAACAAAAATAGAACAGAAACGCCACGCTTTATTGTAGGTTTTTTGGTGATCGACTAGGAATGCCTTGGAGATCGACCCATCGATCGCGATCGACCAGTTAGTGACCACTGGTCTACCACTTTGTGTAGCCATTGGCGACTATGCTAATGTCATGACAAACGTGGAAAGGTTCCCAAAGACCTTCTCAATTAAATGTTAACTACAAAGTAGCCTATGCCTACCTG